CCATATACTTTTTCCCTAACAACTACTATTTCACTAAATAAACCGCCCCCCAACGATATTTCCGGTTTGACAAAACTCTTGTCGTCAAGTTTGCAGAATTCGAAGTGGCCTGGTTCCCCTTCAGAGACCCCAATGATGAAGACGTGGCAATCGGGATGATCAGGAGCTTTGGATAACAAGACCCTCTTGATAAATTTTATGGATTCGAGCTGTGGAAGCTCAATGTCTTTGGCAGAAATAGGATTGAAAATATGGCAAACTTTCGTTTTCCTTTCTTGATACACTATCCAACCATAACTATCACACAAGAAAATTTTATTTCGCAACCAGGGAATTGATCTCGTATAGTACCTGCCCTCTGTGATGCTAAAGAACGTGTGCTCCTGGTATTTTTTACCATGAGATATCAAAAGCCATTGACAAATTTGAGGAGTTTCAGGAGGTCGATCATATATTTCTCTACATTCCACATTCATTGTTTCCAAAAGGAGTAGTGGGAAAAAATTTTAGATTTTTTTTTATTTCGGGAAAAGAAAATTAGTTGAAAAAAGGATAATTTCTCCCCAACGCGGAGAGTGGAGACAGAACAAACAATTACTCTTAATATTTTTTCTGCAAAGGGAGTAATTTATAAGAAATCTTTCCAATATGTCCTCAGGTTGGATTCTCGGTATATTACTCGCAATATTTTTTCCATAAATAAATCCAATCCCATGTCTTTCTCCAACTCCTGAATTAACCGCAATTTTATTCTTTGGTTTTGAGACACCATGATAGCAGTTGCAACTTTCCCTACTGGAGAACAAGAAGAAAAGCAGCGCTGTTGGTCCAATCTTCCCCCTTGATTCGTTGTGCATATTACTATATTACCTCTCCCCTAAAGATAAATGTGCTTTCAGAGCCACTTGTAAATCATGGAATGGTGCCAAAACATTGCCCCCACCCAGTGACTCACGGTCGTCGCGTTGTTACTACTCTTGTCCAAGTTTAATGATTTACAATTTTGACGTATCCTGGTATGAATTTAATGATCCGACCAACAGCGGGTTCTTTGATTTCGGCACCAAAGTTTTGATGGATGCCATTGTCAGGTGCTCCAAATATGGTTGGTTACTCGTGTCACGTCCGAGTCTTGAAGTGTTCTTCTATAATCCTATCACAAAGCAAAACATTGAACTCCCTCCGAGTACTATTCCCTTTACGGCGATGTGCTTTACCTCTCCATCGACTTCTTCAGACTGTAAGTTTTTGTATTCGTAAATATGCGGGACAAGATGGGAATCATAAGACATGGCGAAAAATCTTGGAAATTATATTCGTATGGGGTGTATAATGCACAATATTTTTCCACTCATAGTCCTATTTTCTACGATGGCTCGTTTTACTCTTTAGACGAGAATGGAAACGTTGGTGTTTTTCATTCTGGAGATGATGAAAAAATAAAAAATTTACTTTTCATTATTCAGAAATCAAAACTGGACGGAGGCAGTTGAGAAAAGGGATACGCGAAAGCTTTTTGTTAGAAGATGATGGAAAACTATTAGGAGTTTTTAACCGTTGCGATAATGGTCTCAACATTATGCGTTTAGATCTTGATACTTGGAAATGGCACCCAGTTCTAGATTTGTCAAGTAAGAGTTTGTTTGTCAGTCATACTGCATCGTTTGCTACTAAACTTATTGGTAACCGAGTATATTTTTCCAAATTTCATGATCAAGTTGGGATTTTCTGTAGTTTGGATACTACGAAGTATCACTCTGTCACTGGCAACTTTTCTAGTAAAACATCATACGAACTAGATGAGATTATAGAATCTGGAGGTTGGTTTCAACCCAACTTTGATGTGGTACCGGAGCCACAACTTCACTGGTGATCAAGTTATAGATTTGTTAATATTTTCATGTGATGTTGTACTTAAATTTCTCAGACCCCTATTGTTGTGGTGCGACTATAAGATTCTATTTTTTTATGACATTATTTAATTTCTATGTATGACATTATTTTTACTACTCTTTATAGTAGAACGTTGGACTTCTACTCAATTTTCTATATTGACTAGTGAACAAAATCTTGTCCGATTTGAATTTTTTTTTAGTTCTATTTACTTTAATTTGTACTAAAATTGAAAGTCTGAACAATATTTTCACGACGGAGGGAGTATATAATTATCTTAATGAGTGAGATCAGTTTATCTCTCTGGGAATCCTATATCTCAATATTGTTGTTATTTTCATCAATTGGAACGTTCTATAAAAGTGATCAGTTTATCTTAGTTTAAAAGTGATCAGTTTGAATAAAGCAAAAAGTGGCTAGCAAAATAGTGAAGAAAATTTGAGATCTATGAAATTCGAGAGGTAAATTTTTTTCTTTTCTTTTTGTCTTAGCACTCTTTTATTTTGTAATGGGATGATCACATGATTGCCCTCATGGATTATATGCTTAATGAAATTATTTCACTTGGTGGTTTTGGTCGGATATATGTAACGATTGATTTTTGGAGTTTTTGAATTTATTTCAGTAAGCGGAACTACAGTTTCGTGCTGCTTAGTCCAAATGAATAATGATAGTAAATAAACTTTTATGTGGCATTTCTCATGCATCCTTCTATATTAATGCGAAAATTGTTTAAACAGTACTCATTTTTCAGGGGAAAAAAAACACAAAAGTTGATACTAATTACTTCAAATCGGATTTGAAAAACTTGACTTTTTTTTTATATATTACGCACTCGGTGTCTGAAGTCATTGTTCCGACTAATTCGGATTCGAGTCGGTCCAAATGGTAAAAATATTGGACCAGTTTAACTATGACCCGGGTTCGAATCCATAGACATACAACACTGATTAAAATATTTATTGGGAGATTTTTACCTCCCGAAAGTGACCTACCTAGCTCGAAACTTGACATTATTACTACACATGGTATTGGACCAAAAATACTTCCAAGTTATTAACTTGCGGCATGTTATTTATTGTCACAATTTAATCCCAAATTCCCCCAACTTTTTTACTTTTAGGGCATAAAGAAAAATTGATTAGAACTGCTTCAAGTTTTAATTGTTCATAATTTCATATACATGTACAATCAGCACACCATACTAGACTTGGGCAAGGGTCAAACCTGAATAATATATACTTTCAGCGAAAATTTTCTTCCAACGGTAAGATGTATCCAGTGCAGTCCAAAGTCGTCAACTATATCTATATATCGGTTATCCTCGAAGAAGCTTCTTCTCAGGTTGCACACGTTATAGAAGAAAATAGGGTTGAAGACTTAGAATATAAAATGGATTGTATTACTTCAGTAATTTTTTTGGCTCAAGTAATAGAGTAATAGTGTCGTGAAGTTCCTATATTTATATAGACAACTTCTACGAAACCCTAAACTAGTAAATCACATATTAGAATCACTAATCTAGTTTACACTATAATTTTGGTAATAATTTGAAGTAATTAATCCCTAGAATTGAAATCCTTTGGGATTTCCTGACAATCAAACACATCTTATCATTGAATGTGATTATCTTTATAACACCAATCACCTTATATCTCCTCACATTCAGATCCTTCACTTTTGGAGGTAACTTGATTCTGAGAGATATTCTCAACACTTATAAGTTGTAAACAACGCCGAATTCTAGAATTAATTTTGTAGGCCTTAAGATTCGAAATTAACGTTCACAGAGTTTATATGTTTTGTCATTAATTTGTGTTAGGGCAAAACAAATGTAGCACTTTAACCTCTTTTTCGTTTTGTTTTGTTTTCCTTTTCTTTTTTTTTTTTTCTTTTTTTTTTGAAGTGGGAAGAGTTTTAAGGCAGAAGACAACCCATGCCAAAGGTCAATTTATTAGGTGGGAATTGCCAATTCGGAGAATGGCACATTGCACAACCCTTCAGGCAAATGTATTGCTCTATATTTAATTCTAGTTTGTTAAATGTTGAGTCGTGTACTCTAGTTATGATCAGGATTAAACATGTGTACCGTTGCATTTATAATATACAAATTAACTTGGTTTTAATTTTTAGTATGTAATAAGACAAGAGAAAAGTATTACGTCGACGAGTTTTAAATCATTTGATGTTGCTGGTTAATGTATTGATAACTAGATCTCTTCATCATCGCCAGCAGACTTCGTTCCACCAATCTCCACGTTTTGTCATAGATTTTGAAATAGCAACGCGGCTACGGTTTATTTATTTTTTTCGTTTTCATGGCTCTGGGTTGTTGTGATCACTTGAAATTCCATTGTTTGTGACATATTCCGGGATCTCTTGAATTTCTAATATAATTGTACTATATAAATAAAGAATTAAACTGGATAATTATTTTAAGACATATAGAATAAAAAATTAATACAGATATCTGTTGTTATATACTAATGCATTCTGTATAAAGTTTAGAGGGCTTGGAATCTAAAAGTTTAAGACTTTGAATATCCATAAACTTGAAACCCTTTGAATAAGCTTGAATAAGTTTGTTTCAGAAAAAAAAAAAAAAAGAGTTTGTTTATGATGCTATTTTTAGTCTATGTACCACATGAAGATGATGAATGGAAGGTGCATTCACTTGGAAGGCGGGACACACACTTGCAATGTGTTACGTGTGGAAAATTCTTGGCATGATGAACATATGGGGTACGAACAATTATAAAAAGACAACTACTTTGATGTTAGACGTCCAGAGTTGACCACTCCTTTTTTCCTTTCGCGGCCGTCCTTAAAAGGGTCAACAGTCAAAGCACATATCAAATGATAAGAAGGACATGCAATCATTCTTCATTCTAACTTATTTCAAGGTGCACCGGTGCCATTGTTTGAATTTCACACAATTACTTTTAAAATTTAGAAGTGTTACTATTCAAGCGAATCAATCGCATACTGTGATCAATATTCAACAGTGAATACCATACAATATGTAACTCACAACGAACTATATAATTTTATTTATTTGTAGAAATCCAAATTAATGGGTTCATTATGAATAGGTATATACATATCTAGTAATAGTTGCTGAATATTCTTATCTTTTTCTTTCACTAGAATCTCTTAGGTGATGATATTTGGTGTCATTGACATTAAATGGGAACTTTTTTCTTTCACGAAATTAGACATTCTCCTAATCTTGATATAGAGTTTAAATTAAATAAATGTTATTCTTATTTCATAGAGGAAGTAATTCACTTTGCATGCCAGTTTATATGCAACGTGAATGAAGATAAAAGCAAAATCATGAAAAATCGGGTGATTGTTCCCTTATAATAACATGATCAGAAGAGGAGTGAAAGAAAATATTGAAAAGTGAAGGGGATATTTCATAATTATAAGATTGTAAAAGCGATTAAAGTTGTTTATCAAAAAAAAAAAGAAGAAAAGCGAGTAAAGTAAAACACTTCAAATAAATTATAGCTAAAATAATTCCAAGAAATCCAATCGTGGAATCAATCTATACAGCAGAATTGGACCCCCCCGGCCGTTTCCTTTTATGATCTAGATTCTTAAAATAAAAGTATAAAACGCCGACTGATTCCGGTCACCGAGATTTAAACTCCGACCGAAGAAAAGAATATATTTTTTTTGTGTCTTAGTATCTAATAAAAATTGCTGATGCTCTGTTTTTCAAGTCTGCAAAAAAAATCATCATTTTTTCTTGTTCTGTCTAATTTGCTAAAGAATTACCCAAAAAAAAAAAAAAAGAATCATCAATTCTATAATCGAAAACTTGAATGAATCAGAAGAACCCAGAATTATGGTAGCTCCAAACATTCATGGTGGGCAAAAGCATAAGCGCTAATTCCTCCTCCACGCTGTTCTTCAACAATTGATGCTCATCCAGGCATCTCCGGTGCTCCGACGCAACTTCCGCCGGCACAACTAAATTCCGGCATAGCGGGCACGTCGCATGACTTCCGGCCTGCAACCATTTATCCAGGCATTTGTTGTGGAACACATGGTTGCATCTCAGTTGCCTCGCCTTATCTCCGTCAGCATATTCCGACAAACAAATTGAACATTCCGGCGATGAATCCGACGGCGGCGGGGGTTTGGTTTTCTTGTAGACAAAACAGGAGCTGTTCTGGTTTATCACGGCCACGAAATCGTTCCGGGAGCTCCGGCGTTTGTAGAAAGTGTACAGCACGAAAACAGAGAGTACCATGAATCTGATGGTTTCGGGAAGAACTTTGGAGAAGTAAATTGAAATGAGTCTGTAAATTGGTGAGAAGAAGAATTTGGAGAGAGCTCCCATTTTTTTAGAATTTGCTCTGCTTTTTTTTTTTTTCGGCTCGGGAAAAAATGTTGAATGAATTGTGGACATTTTATATATAACAGATGGAGAAGAGGGTGGTAATTTCTAAGCACTTTCTTAGTTACACTGTACAAAAGGTGTGATCTTTAGCCAAAGAATTAAAATTTTATGAACAAATTTTATGTATAAAAAATGTTGATAAAATCTGGTATTTTCTTTTGGTCCTTTTTGTTATGGATAAATTTGTTATGGATAAGGTTTATTTATTTAATTAGTAATTTTGTATCATTGATGCGAAGTTGATAAGAAAAGTGCAACGTTAGCGGACTAGTCTTCTTTGTATAAATTGAAGAGTTAAAATTCGATCGTATTTTTTGGGAAACTAGTTAGTTTTTATTTTTTCTTTTACATACTGTAAGGTGTTTACCGTTGATAATAATGACTAATATTTTATGTTTATGGTAGGTACTTCGATGGGTAGAAAACTAACTAATCTTTGATGGGCTACTTAGCATCGATCTTAGGAGCTTTAATTTAGCGTTTTAAGATGTTCTTTCTCTTTTGTACTGAAGAAAAAAAAGAGTAAATATTTAGGTTCGTCTCATAAAAATTAGTACGTTTGACTTAATTCCTCAGAATCTACCAATACCGAAGGCGACTTAATTAACAACCTTAATTCTACGCTGGGCTCGTTTATTATCAGAAGATTCAGAACGATTGATTGTGCACGATATGAACTTGAACGAGTGTCAACAAATTGTAATGGGGGGGACGAGGATGTTTGGTTGGAATAATGGAGTGGCGTTTTGACTTCCATGCATCTTTTTTCCTTGTTACAATTTCGGGAGTTGCGGTTGTTAGAAGTGTCTTACATTGATTCCACGGCACTACTATGTAACTGTACTAAAATAGTCTTTATTTCGAACGAAATGTCTCGATATTTAATGTTCCATATAACTATTTTTTTTTTTTTTTTGGAAACACCCATATAACTAAATCATTGACACTATCCAAAACACATTCCCTTTATTTTGGAAAAAAAATAATTCAATTTATTATACTATTAGTTTTTTCAAGAAAATATTAATTTTTTTTTAAAAAGGGCTAAGGCTGTAATTCTAGCATTTTTACAAAATTGATAAACTCTTACTGTGGATAGAAGGCGAAATATTGAATGCATAGTACATAGCTAACATTAATTACAACCCAGTAGGTGATATTTAAACAAAAATTTTTTAATGTATTCTCAATATTTTATTTTGAGACAATAAAGAATAACTTGTTGTAAATTTTTATTTTGGAAAAAAGTACCGAGTTTGATATAAAAATATTGCTAATGCTACTTTTTGTATATCCTACAAAATTTCACTTGTCCATTTTCACTCAACTGCTCAAAAGACACTCAAGTTGCACGTAGTCATCATAGTCGTGACAAATGTCTACGTCAAAATTTCTAAAGTTGATACCTCCAATTTGGCAGGTAGGCACCATCTTCAATATCTTCGTAGATGAATCATGATTCCAATTCGGCAATTTGGCCCCATTTCAATTTCCAATTGATTAGATTACCATAATTTATAAAACACTTTACATAAAAGGATCCTCTAGAGCACTCCTTTCTTTAAAAGAACATATTGTCAAAATTTCAACCTTTTAAATACAAAAAAAATTAAAATATTGAATTAGGTTTCCAGAACGTTGAATAAAAGAAATGTGTAGATGACTTAAATGAATTCTATATCTACATCATTGCAGATTGTTTTACATTTTTGGTGCTACATGTATATTTGTTTGCACAATTTTCGTCTTAGAAGAATTGCGTAATATATCTCTCAAACGATTGTGTATTGTTTTTTAATAACTGTGCTAAATAAACTAAAAATAGAATCTCGGAAATTAAAAAATCGGCTGAAGGCCAGATTTTATTGTAATCTTTGAAGAGTAAGTACAGCCGCCGATAATCGGCATAATTTGAAGAGTTCTATAAAGAACCCTAGCTTTAGAGATAAAATCGGAAATAAAAGACTGAAAATTAAAAAGAAACAATTTGATGCTATTTTTGATTGTCATTCCTCCTACCGCCGATCCCTTTAAATAGTCTTTAAATCGCAGTCGGAGTACAATTCTAAACCAATACCAACTAGGCCTCCTTCTCCAAATTGGACTCTGAGCTTTCTAGAAGCCTACTCCATGGCCCGCTGTTTTACTTAATCCAGCCCAAATATTCACCAAGCCCTTTCAAGCTGTCAGGCACCGGAAGGGTGGCCGGGATTGTCAACGTCGCCGGAGATAAAATCAAGAATTGTAAAAAGGGGGAGGAATTCTAGAAGAACCAAGAGAGAGGAAGAAGACTGAATCTTTATTTCATTTATTTGACAAAACCCAAATCTATTACAATTTCCATTATTAGTACTAATGGTGACTAATCATTCCGTAATTATGACGCTAATCATTACTAAATCTAACTTCCAGCCGACTTACAAATAGGCCCCTGAGTTTTTGAAATTTACAAAATAACCCTGAACATGTGACAATCCATTCCGCGTATGAAAAACCTTGTCCTCAAGGTTTGAGCTAAGGAAACTGCTTGCGGATGAAACCATAATCTTCCCAGGAAGCGTCCTCCAAACCAAAATCCTTCTATTGAATCAGCCATTGAGTAACCGGAGTACCATTTCTTTTAATGAATCGTCTTTGAAGTACCTTAACTGGAGTAAGTACATGATCTTCTAGGATGTCTAAATTAGGAGGTGGTGGTACTACTGGAATCTGGTTCCCATGGTGTTTCTTTAGCAAAGACACATGGAAGATTGAGTGAATCCTGACAGCATCTGGCAACTACAACCTGTAAGCAACTTTTCCAATTTTTTCAGTATCTTATAAGGACCATAATACTTGGAACTCAGCTTCAAATGCAATCTGATCAGGTAAACCCAATCCCCAACAGATAAGATCCTTTCAGAACGATGTTGATCAGCATAAAACTTCATCCTGTGTTGAGCTTTCTTCATTTGATCCTGTAGTAGTCTGATAAGAGCAGCCCTTTGTTGCATTTCACTTGCAGCAGCTGGAATAACACTGTGTGCGAAGTCACCAAGAGGAAAGAGTCCAGGTTTTTTACCATATAATGCCTCATAGGGAAGTCACATTAATGCTGGAATAGTGTGAAGTATTATACCACCACTCTGCCAAGGTCAACCATTTACACTAAGAGATGGATTTTTCACAGCAGAAACACCTCAAATACCCTTCCAAGGACTGGTTCACCCTCTCAGTCTGGTCATCTGTTTGAGGGTGGTAAGTTGTACTTAGTTTCAACTGCACTTTCAACAACTTGAAAAGTCCATTCTAGAAATGACTAGTAAAACCTGGATCTCTGTCAGTAATGATGTCCTCAGGTAATCCATGTAACCTGAAAATTTCTTTAAAGAAGATCTCAGCCACTTTAGGAGCTGTGATTGGGGACTGTAAGGCCAAGGAATGGCTGTATTTGGTGAGGCGATCAACCACTACTAGGATGGTATCATTTCCATCAGAAATTGGCAGTTTGACTATAAAGTCCATGGAAAAGCTTTTCTAAGCATTTTGTGGAATAGGATTTGGGCATAGAAGACCAGGAGTGGCTAAGTGTTCCCCCTTATTCCTCTAGCAAACATCACAGCTTCTGACAAACTCTTCTACTTCATGTTTCATCTTAGGCCAATAGAAAACACTTCTGATGCGCTGCCAGGTTGCATTCTGTCCTGAATGACCCCCAAGGGTGAATAATGAAAAGCCTCCAACAATGACTTTCTGATTCCTGTCTTGTTACCAATATAGATCTTTCCATTCTTCCTCAATATTCCTTGTATATACTGATAATCAGGATGATGGTGGGGGACTGATAGTGACTCCAGCAATCAGATCAGAAACGGTCTGATCATCTTGATAACTCTTAATCACTTCTTGCATCCAGTCAGGTTGAACTGAGGTAATAGCACAGACTTGACCTTGGACATTCTCATCTTCTGATAAATGAGTTCTTCTTGACAAAGCATCAGCTGCACTATTGTCTATCCCCTTTTTGTACTGAATCTCATAGTCAAATCCCAAAAGCTTAGTAAGCCACTTATGCTGATGAGCATTGTTTATAACCTTTTGTTCCAACAGGTATCTCAAGAATCGGTGATCACTTCTGATAATGAAATGGGATCCCAACAAATAATGTCTCCATTTAGTCACTGCCAATACCATAACCATGAGTTCTTTTTCATAAACTGAAAATCCTTTGCTTCTCTGATTGAATGCCTTGCTTAGATAAGCTATGGGTTGACCATTCTGCATGAGAACTGCTCCCATTCCAACATCATTAGCATCTGTTTCAACAACAAAAGGTTAAGAGAAATCAGGTAATCTCAATAATGGTGAAGAAACCATACACTTCTTGAGCTTGCAGAAAGCTGTTTGAGCCATTTCATTCCATTTAAAACATCCTTCTTCAACAAGTTTGTTAAGGGCTTGCCTAGAATGCCATAATTCTGGATGAACCTTCTGTAATAACCAGTAAGCCCCAGGAAACCCCTCAAACTCTTGACATTACCAGGAATAGGCCATTCAGTGATGCACTTAATCTTGTTAGGATCCATGCTTACCCCCTTTGCAGAAATGCTATGGCCTAAGTATTCAATAGTCTCTTTGGCAAATTCACATTTACTTTTCTTTGCATATAGTTGATGATGCTGAAGGATCTGCAACACTTGCTCAAGATGCTCCAAATGCTCCTCCAAGGATTTACTATACACAAGTATGTCATCAAAGAACACCAATATAAATTTCCTCAAAAACTGATGAAAAATCTGATTCATGAGAGACTGAAAGGTTGCTGGTGCATTAGTAAGCCCAAATGGCATAACCAAGAACTCATAATGACCATTATGAGTTTGGAAGGCTATTTTATGAACATCATCCTTGTTCACTAGTATTTGATGGTAACCTGATCTTAGATCCAGCTTTGAAAACATAGAAGCACCATTTAGCTCATCCAACAGCTCTTCTATTATTGGAATTAGAAACTTACATTTAATGGTCATTTCATTGAGCTTCCTGTAATCAACATACATCCTCCAACTCTCATCCTTCTTTTTCACCAAAATAACATGTGATGCATATGGACTCTTACTGGCTTGAGCAATCCCTTGCTGTAACAATTCCGCCACCTGTTTTTCAATTTCAGCCTTGTGTGCATGAGGACACCTATATGGAGGTATTTTGAAAGGTTGGCCACCCAATTTTAGTGGAATATTATGATCCACATCCCTGCTTGGTGGTAGAGAATCAGGATTAGAAAATACTAAGTAATATTTGTCAAGCAGCTTACTCACAGTTTCTGGAAGAGGAATCTCCACCATGGATTGACTTGTTTCCTCCATAGCATTCAAATGCATTGATAACAGTCTTCCTTTCCTCTCCTGGTATAATACCTGACTTTCCTTATCTATCACCAACCTCATGCTAGCAACACTACCACTGTCTTGAAGAATATATTGCCTCCCATAACGGCTCAATCTAACATACGTCTCATCAAAGTCAAAAGTAATGGAGTTTAAATGCCTCATCCAGTCTACACCCAATATCATGTCATAACCCCCCAATCTCATTATTTTGAGGTCAGAACTGAACTTGTATTCCTTAATGTTCTATTGCAATTTAGGACAAATCAAGTTCCCAGACACCTTATTACCATTTCCCACTGTTATGGTATACATTGTTGATTCAGTAAAGTGCAACTTCAATTCTTGAACCAAAGCAGCATCCACAAAACTCTCTATACTTCCAGTATCTATCAGAATCTCGATCACCTTCCCATTCAATTTTCCCAGAATGACAATAGTTTGTTTCACATTATCCACTCATAATACATGCAAGGTGCCCTCTTCAATAGTCAAATCATTCAAATCAATGCCATCATCAACCAGAAACTCAGGAACATCTAAGACATCTTTTCCTTTTTCCTCATCATCATCATCATCATCAGTTACAATCATGACATTAAACTGCCTATATTTGCAAGAATGACCATGTCCAAATTTGTCTCCATATTTGAAACATAAGTATTTATTCATTCTGTATTGATATTCTTCAGGACTTAACTTCTTGACAAAATCAGGGTTGATTGGTTTATTAGATTTATCCACAGTTCTTGGAACACCTACAGTCCTACTAGAATTAAAAGGGTGCTTGGTTACCTGTGCACATGCAACCCTTTGTTTCTTGAGAAGAATTTCTAACTGTTTCTCCTGTAGGTAGGAAATCCTGTAACCTGTAAGTAAGGATGCTGGCTCAAACATTCGCACTACTGCTTTCAATTCTTCTTTCAGGCCACTTATGAAACTGGAAATGAAATAATTCTGTCAACCTTGGATCTTGCATCAACATTTTACAACGAAACTCCTCAAACCTGTTCTGGTATTCCTTGACTGTTCCAGATTGAACTAGCTTATTGAATTCACCAACCGGATCCACTTCTTCAATGGTGATGAATCTTTTCAATAATTCACACCAGAATTCATCCTAAGAAGGTTTCAGATTCATCATTTTTGAACGCTCTAAACCAAGAATCTGCCAGATCATCCATGTATAGCTCCACATAGTCCACTTTCTGTTCATCAGAGACCTGATGAAGGAGGAATAACTTCTCACACTTCTTTATCCATTCCCTAGGTTTGTCCCCGGTAAAGATTGGTAGCTCAGTTTTAGGTTGTGTATACCATGTCGGACGTTTCTCCTTAGGAACGTCATCTGATTTGAAAACCACAGGCAGATCTGGTACTGTTTCCACCGTCTAATTTGTCATCGGAGTTTTAGATCTGTCTGATGGTGAAACCCCCATAAGACCTTCTTTGCTGACAAAAGATGCCATGAAATCCTTCAACTGGGCACTCATTTGCAGCATCGAGCTCTGCATAGCTATCGTTGAACACTGCATTTTATTAATCCGCTAACCTTGATCGGAAAACTTCGATTCCATATCTGACATCCTAGACTCCAAGTCCGAATTCACGATAGTAATGTCACTAGAACGCCTTCTCTCGTCAAGATCCTTCTGAGATCGCGTTTGCGTCATGACGGAAGCTTCTTGGAACCGAGGATAGCCATCTCTGGATACAAATTATCAGGCACTGGAAGGGTGGCCGGAATTGTCAACGTCGCCGGAGATAAAATCAAGAATTGTAAAAAGGGGGGGAGGAATTCTAGAAGAATCAAGAGAGAGAAAAAAGACTTAATCTTTATTTCATTTATTTGACAAAACCCAAATCTATTACAATTTCCATTATTAATACTAATGGTGACTAATCATTTTGTAATTATGACGCTAATCATTACCAAATCCAACTTCCAACCGACTTACAAACAGACCCTTGAGTTTTTGAATTTACAAAATAACCGTAAATATGTGACATAAACCCACCCAGAAAAAACTGACCCAACAATATTATAGAATATAGTTAGTTCTTGCCGCCAATCCTTTATTATAATTTTATTTTTTTCGGGGGAGAAAACCCAAAACTTTGGCTGATTAATTGAAGCATGGGGTGTAAATAACTAAACAAGTAACCTATTAGCTATCCGGTTCTTCTGTTCTTCGCATCTTTGGTCGACTTTAGATGCTAGTAGACAACAAGTCATCTGGAGCCTCCTCATCATGGGTAATTGAGAAAGAGAATCATCCTTAATCTTAGTTATACCCTAGTATTTTGATTTATGCACTATACATGAATCTGATTCATTATTTAAGTCAGTGGTTTGTACTAATATTCTTTTTGTCTTAAAAAAATAGTCCACATTATGTTAATTTTGAAATTTATATTAAATCATTTCACTTTATTATTGAAGCACAGGACTATTCATTGATTCATTCATGTTCAACTCTTAATTTACAACATGCTAACATCTATGTATATCATACATTTCCAGAACATTTTACCAAATTACGATTAAATACTAACTGAATTAGTATTGAAGAACTTATAGGGTTATTACCAGTATTGAAGAACTTATAGCGTATCACACTTTCTTTTTTTCCCTCTTCTGAGAGAGCATGATCACGAACCAGAAGAAGGGTTTGACCATGATAACCAAAATGGCTTGATGAAAATGGATTGGTAAGCATATGATTAAAGAATGAATTATTGCTTGGCTTACCATTTTTTAATATTTTGTCTACTTTGAAAGTGATCAATTTCAGGTCTTATATGATGAAGGATATTGTGGTTGCACGTACGTGCCACCTAATTTAACTGAAAATGTGCGGACAAAACATGACGTCTAAAAGTTCGTTTTTGGCTTTTTTTTGCTGGTTATTCAAAAATATGTCAATTTATATGTCTCCACTCTCCGTCGTATTTCTTTCGTCGAGCTGATGAATGTATTTTCATGTCCGTCTAATCTTATTTACAAGGCATGGATTAGCATTTTCTAAACTCTCTGTCTCAATTTCTTTTCTTTTTTTTTTTTCCTAAATTCCTAAATCCTCTTTCAGCAAAGTATTCAAAAAGTGGATATAGATACTCCTTCCAAATCTTATTATAAAGCATTTTGATTTGTCATGAGTTTCAGTTAGTATGTTTTCTTTCAATTAAAAAAATGTTAAAAATATTTCCTAATAATTAAGAGAATACAATAAATGTGAAAATGTTGTTTTAAGATTTTTTTTTTTCCAATCGAAAGACCATACATAAATGTGAAACTTAGACAAGTAAAAAACCCTTATTAAAAAAATTGAGAGAGTAACCCTTACGGGAAGAGCTGAGTTAGGGATGTTTAGAACAATATTTTTTAAGCTTTATTTATTTATATATTAGAGAAACCGAAACTTTAGCTATAAAACCAACTCATCGGAGGTGAGTTGACTAGAACAGTCTAGCAATATTTTTTCTAGGGTTGCAGTGGGAGATATTGACAAAACTGCAATCCCGAATCATACTTAAAACCTAATTTGGCTAATGAAATGGTTGATTCATTACCGGGACTTCGTATATGTGAGATTTCTACCACCCATTGACGATTAAAAAGTTTTTTTTTATTCTACAGAGCACATTACCTGAAATAGCATTTGGGCTTTCATCGTTTAAAAGGTTAACAGTTTGCAGGCTGTCCAATTGGAGTTATATTTTCCTGAAACCCAAGTTCCACGCTATTTCAAGCCCAAAAAAAGAAGCCCAAAGCTCAGCTTCCAAAACGCAGCAGTCTCCCAGGTTTGCCACGAAGCCGGAAATCCAAACTCCTCCATCGTTTCTCAGTACTCCACCGGCCGTCGCGTTCGATTGGACTTTTTATAGCTTTTTTTTTTTTTTTTGTGGAAAGACTTTTTATAGCTTAATTTCTCAACATTATTAGTTTGAGCTTCGGATTATTATTATTTCCTTTGTTTTAAACTTTAAAGGAGTTCTTTTTGGGCTTTACGATTGAGGCTCGTTGGGTTAATTCCGTATACTTTTACTCATCATCACCCGTTTCCTTCTTTGCGTAGCATTTTTATACACCATTAAAATTCGACCCGAACCTCTTCCGTCCACACCAACGCGCCACCGTTGGGCGCCACCTTCCTCAGCCGTACCGGAGCTCCTATAGTCAAATTCCCATTAATATCCAGCTCTGATATTCACCTCCCATTCTATTTAATCATCGCCAAACGTCCAAATTCTTACCTACAACTGTTTAACTGAGTCATAGTTTATCCTATTGCTCCTTGTGCAATAACAATACGGTGTAATAAAACTCTGTTTTATTTAAAATCTTCAATAATTGGGAAAGGACATCGTCCGTCGGTTTACAATTTCAGTGCGGGGCTCATGAATTCCCATAGTGTGAATAGAAGAACGAATACTTGCTGTGCCATATGTGAGAGTTCCAACCGTGCCTCAATTTGCTCTGCTTGCGTCAATCTTAGGTATTCTTTTGAAACTTCTTTTGTTTTGCTTTTCTTTTGGGGAATTTTTAATACAGGATTACGTAAAGTTTTGACATTTAATGGTTTTGTTCTGTTTATTATTTACAGATTGAATGAGTGTAGAAATAACCTCAAGTCTCTGAAGGCTGAGAGGGATGCATTGTATGCGAAATTAAGTGAAGCCCTTGTTAAAAAGGTACGATTGTAGTTGGTTTTGGTTTTGCTGCTTTATCCAGCATAGTTTCTCGTAATTTCGATTTCGCTGAAGTTTTGGGCTGATATTGTAGCTGTGTTGATCATGGTTGATAACCTGTTAGTGACATGGTCTGAGGGAATGAGAATGCCATTGTAATAGCTTTCGAAAGTTTTGGCACAAAGAAATAGGATTTCAAAGGATGAAAATACTTGTTAGAGAGACTGAAGGGTTCATGTCATTCAATTTTATTGGTCCTGTATCTTGTGAGGAAATAAGATACTGGTGTAACGCTAACGACGTATTTGATCAAGGCAGAAAAAAGAACCCTTACTTTGTACTCGCTTATAAGAAAATGATAATTCTTGGTCACAAGTTGATCTCTTGGTTTACAACTTGATCTTTTGGTGAATTTGTACATTCTTGTGTTTTTCTGATGCATGACACAAGTAAATTAGATTCCAAAGCAAGATCAAGCCTTTATCCCTATATGTATATACAGTTAGCTGTATGGATCTTACCTCACTGTTATTATGTCCTTTCTCAAACAAAATTTCTCATTTTGGTGGTATAGAAGATACTGATAGACATAAAAAAGGCACAATAGTTTTCCTTTTTTCCCTGACTAATAATTGTGATTGCTGTTGTTGACAGGGAAAAGCTGATGACCAGGAAAATTGGTTGCTTCTCCGAAAGGAGAAAATTGCAAAAATGAGAGAGAAGCTCCAGCTACGTCAAATACAAGTATCGCAAGGTTGATCAGTCACTAGTTATTTTTCCAAAGCAATTTAGGCTGGTTGTTATCTGTATCTTTTCTTAAACCGGCAATCTTATTTTTTTCGATAGGAAAGGCTAAGATTGAGAAGATGTCTCGTGATATTAAAGTCAAGAACGAGTTACTGGATAAAGCTAGGGGCTTGGTATGATTTTTCTTTATATCTTATGTTAGTAAAAAGTTGTTGCATTGATAACCGATGATGTCTGTTCCTTATTTAAATTTTTATTGCAGTTGGAAACAATTCGAGTTGAACAAATGGAGAAAAACTATCCTAATCTTGTTTGCACCCAAAGTCTTGGACATGTAAGACTTGTTATTGTAGTCTCTTGCTATTCGTAAAATTTGTTACTATCTTTTCCAAACTTTTGGTGGGTTTATTTCACATTGGTTATTAACCTTTGAAGTGCTTTTGTCCAAAACCATATTTGATGCTAGAAATATTGTACTTGCAGATGGCTATCACCTCGGAACGTCTGCATAAACAATCAGTTATTGTGAAACAAATATGCAAGTTATTCCCTCTCCGTCGGGTAAGATGAAAATATTTTGTTTGAGTTACTATTGAATATCCTTTTAGTTAATTTTGCTTCTGCAAGCTTGCCTAAATATGTAGAGTATGGCCTGGGGTTGGTATGGGAGTAAATTAATTTGATATATCTCATTAACCCTTATGCTGAACGCCGTTTCAAGCAACAGTCATGGTGGTATGCCACTATGAATGCTGTTGGTCGTCGTATATAAATAGTATCTGCAACCTGATTGCTATGCCCATAAGATGCTAATGCCTTCTGTACATTGCGGCTGCAAAGTGTCTAAATGTTGTATTAGACTTTTTATGCAATTACTTTTGAAGTGAGACCTTATCAGGCATGCCTTATGTTGCAGATCACTATGGAGGGTGAACGAAAAGATGGTTTTAGTGGTCAATATGACACAATTTGTAATGCTCGTTTACCTAGAGGGCTCGATCCACATTCTGTTCCATGTGAGGAGCTTGCTGCTTCTTTGGGGTAATGTTTGTCCCTCACCTATATATACTTGTCTATATGGCGCAAAAAAAATCTTTTAGCTCATCCAGTGTTTACTTGAACTCATACATAATTTGCTCATAATTGGTCAATGGCAGATATCTTATCTTTTCTGATCTGTTCCCCAATATTGAACAAATATTGACATAAATGAATTTTGTTGCTGCTGGGTCAAGGGTAAAATGGAGTAGGGGATAAGGGTTTGACAGGGTGCGAAAGTTTTGTTGAGTCATTGTTGCCTACTTAAAGGGTTAGGGAAGCTTGAAAAAGATTAACTTTGTTGCTGCTGAATTTTGGTTTCTAAAATCAATAGTTCTGCCTCGTGATCACATTTTATTGCTGAGTTTATCTAGTGATCAAGTACGGGCATGACGGGGAGTATACTGTAATGTCAAATAATGGAAAATTGCTGGAAAAATGTTGCTATCTGTGTATCTTCTGCCCTGTGTTTCCTATAAGCGTGAACTATAGAATCATGCTAAAGATGGTTTTCATATCGTGATATGTGCTTCAGGGTCCTTAGATGCTGAAGAGTAGAAAGGTATAGAATCATTAACTCAAATTAAAAGGGGAAGGAGAAGTCCTATAAAGAAATGGAATGAAACTAGTAAACTGTTCTGATTGGGCAAGATGGCGACATATTGTATTAGACTTTTAATTTTAAGTAATTGAGTAGTCTCGATTTTCAAGATTGGTCGTATTATCATCTGCTCTGAATATTTTTAGTCTTTTTTGTTATTGTGTTTTCTTCTTAGTTTACCGACTGATCCCACTGAAAAATAGGCTTAGCTCTTGCTGTTGTATCATGTATGGGTTTTCTGTTGACTTGCCTAAAAGAAATTTCTGCAAATTATGTTACCCGTTGCCTCTCTCTAATTAACAGTTTCTGTATGTTAAAACCAGGTACATAGTGCAGCTTCTAAATCTTGTAGTCCAAACTGTGTGTGGACCTGCACTTCATAACTCAGGGTTCGCGGTATGCCCGTGTCTATCCTTATTTTACATGATACAAAACCTGTTCAGATATATGGATCATGTTCATTTGTGATTGAAAAGGATGATTTAGGTTTGGATATCAAATTTATTATTCTCTTTTTCCTTCCTTTGAATACTAGGGTTCATGCTCTAGGATATGGCAGCGAGATTCTTACTGGGATACCCGTCCATCTTCCAGAAGGTAATATTGTAGCATTGTGATTAATGTATTCTTTTCTTGTACAAAAAAAGATAATCTATTTGGTTTGTCATTTTTATTTCATAAGCAGTGAATATCCGCTTTTCATTCCGCGCCAAAAGTTTTGCTCCACCGGTGGGGAAACCTCATGGTCTGAGAGAAGCTCCAGTAATTTCGGTGTTGCTTCTATGGAATCAGATAAAAAGCATGCTTTGGAATCTTCTCGTAGTGGTAGTTTCAATTATGCATCTGCGTCTCCACACTCAATGCAGACGCATAAGGATTTGCAGAAAGGAATAGCACTTTTGAAGAAAAGTGTGGCATGCATTACTGCATACTGCTATAACTCATTATGCTTAGAAGTTCCTGCAGAAGCCTCTACTTTTGATGCATTTTCGAGGTTGTTGGCCACCCTTTCTTCTTCCAAGGAAGTGAGATCTCTTGTTTCTTTGAAAATGGCTTCTGCAAGGTATTCATTCCTCTTCTTTAGAATCATGTTTATTACCTGTGGTCATAATTCCTGGAATGAAAATTGCAGCTTTTATTTTTGGGGTTTGCAAATTTTTGAGGAAGTTGTCTAGGAACTTAAATTATCTGAGGTTAAGAACTAACACTGGTATGTGGCGTGTGAACCAGGAAGTTTCATGTTTTAAACTTACGGTTCATTTCCACCCCTTGGTTGGAAAAAGGCTCTCAAATTACTATAGTTAAGACTCTTCTCAAAACTTGTCGATTTAGATGGTGACAGAGGGAAACACTAACTGCAGTTACTTTGTGTCAGAAGTTTTGCTGTTTCAAATCTAAGTTGTCGCTTTAGCAACAGGCTCCAATTTTCTCCATCTTACCATGTTATTTTTTATGTTTACTTGGTTTGTAGGTCATCAAAGCAAGCCCAACAGTTTTGCAAGTCTGTGTGGAAGGTAGATTCAACCATTTCATCCAGCACTTTGGCAGAAAGTGCTGTCTCTCTGCCAATGACGGTAAATAGATACACTTTCATGATGTGTCATTGCTTCTCTAGCTGCATTGTCTTTCTTTTGCATCATCAATATCTTCTTGTTATTTACTGTTTCATATAGTTATGAACTTGCTTTGGCCTATTTGAAGCTTGGGATAGGCAATTATTTCCTTCAAAACCTCCTTGAGCAAAATTAGCTTAAAATTTCCCATTTAATGCATTAGTATGATTGCTAAACATGTCTATTTTGGATCTTTGAGGAACAGCTGGTAACAATGATGGTTGTTCTGAACTCATTGTTTATTAGATTGGGCACATGATGTGTAGTGCTTCTGTGACCTTGTTTGCAATCTCTCTGCCTGTTGGTATATTTTTGAAAATCTGTAGTATATGGATGAAATAGAGTGCATGCTGTAGATTGTATCTTAGCCCTATTCCATTTTCTTTTTATGGGGGAGTAAGATTGCTTCGGTCGCATCCATCTATGTGAATATGTACTGTAAGTGAAGTATTGCCTTTCCACTGTGCAGAGAAATGGTTTTGAGCAGAATGTTCCCAGTTCTACTGCAAGCTTTCTAGCTGAATTGTCAGATACTGGCAAAATTGAAACCGCCATTGAAGGGTGGGATATTGTCGAGCACACTTATCCTCCCCCACCCTCACAAATTGAAGATGTTGAGCACTGGACACGAGCCATGTTTATTGACGCCACAAAGAAGATTACTAATTCAAGAAAGTGATTAGGTTCAGGGTGTACAGAAGAACTTGATACCTAAACCCGATGTCATGAGATATCCAAAATTGTGAAGTTCTCCCATGTTTATTGTGGAGCTCGAAACTGTACAGTTCTCCCGTTGTATCTGGAACATTCATTCTGTGTAAATAGATTCTGGAAGTATTTTACCTTTTCTTTTGATTAAATAGTATCCTTAATTGTGGTTTATTTTAGTCTTGACTATAAGTTTTGGCTCTAAAAATAGTTTTGTCTTCATGAAAAGGAAAAAAAAGATGAATTTGGCCCCATGAAAGTAATACAACTTTGAGCAACCAAGGAACCTTATTAGCAAATTGAGATAATTAGATTAAACTGAGATTAACTACTACGATGAGCTTTGTTTCATCATACATTGTTTTCCGCGATCAGCTAATGCTCTGAAAAAAGGTACTCTAAAGCGCAGGAATACGAAGATGTTCTGATTGTTCCTCTTAAACTACATATAACAGATGGACAGAAGAAACCTAAGGATCCATGGAGTTAAACAAATCCTCTCAAGACAAAGGAGGAGGGATCACAAATTTCTTCCAGCCTTCACTTCTTCCTCTTCTTTGGTGGCTGGATGGTCTCCTCTTCCTCATTCTCTTCATCATCTTCCGGTTCATCTTCAACCACTTCTTCCTCATCTGCTTCATCCTCATCATCATTGTCATTTCCATCGCCACTCTCTTCATCATCATCATCATCATCATCCCCATCATCGTTAGGACCATCACCGCCTTCATTATCGTCATCTTCTCCCTCTCCATTCTCCTCAGCTCCACCAGGCGCCTCGGAACCTTTCTTTGCATTACCGTTGCTGTCGCTTGCATGGCCTTCTTCACCCTCGCGGGAGGGCTCCTCGTCATCACCATGGACGTCACCATTCCCGGTCTCAGCTTCTTTATCACCATCTCCTTCGCCTCCTCCCTCTGCATCAACAACTTCACTTGCCACAGCCAACATTGCAATATTCTGTCAAAAAAAAGAACAGTGAATGTCAGCTAAGTAGCACTAAACTTTGAAACAAGATACTAACCACTGGGCCTTGACTCAAATGAAAATTCATTGGGCCTTGATTCGTAGGAAGGAAAGTCAATGTTGGGCCAACGCCGTACACAGCAATAGTGCAAAATAAAGTATTGAAAGAATCCGAGTTATGGATTTTTTTTCCACTTTAATTATTCTCCTCAGTTGTTTGAACTTTGAAGGTACATTGAACATTGGAGCCTTTTTCAATTAAAAATACTCTTTCGTCTCATTTTATAATAATAATACTCCCTCCGGCCCTTAATATAAGATATTTTGATTTGTCTTAAGTTTAATCTAGTACATATTTTTAATTGACAAAAAAATTTTAAAAAATATTTCATTACAATCAAGAGAATAAAACGAATCTGAAAATATATTTTAAAGATTTTTTTGTCAATTAAAAATGCGTACTAGGTAAAACTTAAGATAAATTCAAAATGACTTATATTAAGGACGGGAGGGAGTATTAGTTAATAAAGTGAACGGTTAAAATGAGATAATAACATGACGGAAGTAAACTCCTTTGAAGAAAAGTCGTTTTAGTTAGATTTTATTTTATTCCTTCTAGATAGAAAAGGCAAATAGTATAAATGGAATAAAATAGAAGAAATAGTATACTAAATGGAAGCATGGCATTGGTACTGAGTACTGACTACTGAGAACTGACGGTGGGCTACACTACAGTAGTTTTAAACCGGGGGCCCATAAATATAACAACCCGGTCCCGGACTCAAAATGTGAATATAATCCAAACTTAATGGTCCCTTTCACATCCGGGATGAGGAAATTTGTACAAATATTACAAATTTTTCAATTAGCCAAAAACCTGCTTCCAGAATCAACAGAAACATTACACCCATTTTTTTTTTTTCTTTTCATAAAAGACAAATGTATAAAAATACTCATTTTTATGACACTAAGATTTTAAAAAAGCAATTAACAACCTCAACAAACACGATAACCGAATTAATTAAACTATTTAAAAAAGAGAAATAAACAAAAAAAAAAGATATCTAGAACTACAAAAAGACTGTAACTTTTCCTGGTTTGCCCCATAATAGTAATTATCATTCAAAGTATCAACAGGCCTCAAACAGATGAATTAATTTATATGAGAAAATGAATCAAACAAAATGGTTAAATAAATTAAGTTAAAGAAAGCAAAATTGTTTTTACTTACTTGAGCTAGAGAAAGAAGCTGAGCGTTGACCAGAGTAATAACGGAGGTGAGGAAAGCGGTGCACGTTAGCAACAAAGTCTGGTCAACCATCACATCCACTTGTACGGTTGCCATCCTCACACTGGAAAAAGACAAAAGAGTAAGAACCGTTAGATCTCTCCTCCGAGTCCGTTGGCTTGGGGCCAAAAATAATATAACTAATTTCGTAATCTCTTCCCCATGAAAATCTCTGTCATAGTGTTACTAAAATCTAAAAATATAGTTGAAAAGTTGAAAAGAACCAAACCAAAAAAAAAAAAAAAAAAAAAAAGAAATATGAAAAAGCAAACAACATTAGTAGAGCTGATGGACTGGAGATCTAAGAAAGTTTCTAAAGAGTTAAGAATGAAAAGGGTGGAAATGGAGAAATTAAAAGGGTTGGGAGAGAATACTAGAGAGAATTGAGACTTGAAGAAAGGGAGAAGGAGAAAGAAGAAAAGCTTACCAGCAGAAAAAATCTAGAGGGGGGGGGGAGAGAAAGTGAGAGAGAGAGAGAGAGAGAAGAGGAGGAGGAGGTGAAAGAGAGAAAAGGGGAGGTTGAAGAAGATATAGTGAAGGTTTTTAGATATGGGCTTTAAAATAGAGAAGGAAAAAAGAAAAGATGGAAAATGTGTTTGGTTTTGGTTTTTAGAGTACTAATTTCAAGTTGCATGAATGATGAACATGAGGACAGAACAACATTTGCAAGTAGTTGAGTTAGAGTGAGAGTTAAGCTGAAGACTGAAAGAGAGAGAGATAGATAGACTTTTTGTTTTGATCATTGATTCGGGCATATTTGATCATCACCGTTGGTTCATTCATTAGAAAGGTGTGAAAAGGAGTGAATTATATGAAAATACAAGCGGAAGTTGATCATAAAATAATGTTATCTCATCGAGAGATACTAGTCACATTTTTAAAAAAAGAAAAGAATATAATTAAATATTCTTGAGGGGAAAAGTGTGTTTGTGTTTTATAATTGATTGATGATGAGTCGAGACATTTTTATCAGTGGGTGGTGTATTGGTTAGTTAAGGTGGGGGACAGGCTGAGACTCGGCAGGCTTCTGCAGATTATTATGATATTTTTTTGGAAGAGTAAATTTCACTTTTCTTGCTTGCAATTTTTTTGAAAATACCAACTATAATAATTCATTCTCAAAGGAAAACACCAATCTAAAATAATTTTGTTATCCCTTGTCTTTGTTGAAGTTGAATTTTAGTTGTTAGTTGAAATTCATCAGAAACTCGACTTTGTTCAATAAATGAGAGTCACATGTATTAAATTATTTTCTGCATAAAAACGACCTTCTTATACTGGGCAACATATTTATTTTGACAAAAAAGATTGAATAAAGTTGAGAAAAATTAATCAAGTTCTTTTAACTGAAAATGTAATTCAAAAATAATAATGGATTATAAAAATCTTATGCCATTTTATGGTTTAATTTTTTATAGAGGTTTTTTTTTTTCGTTTTTCCATCTATATATCCTAGCTATTATAAGTGTTTATTTCATTTTCTTTCACTTTTTAGGGTGTGGCTAAAATATATCTTCCTTTTCATAAACGATGTCGTTTTGGGTTCAGGGGATTTTAAATAAGGGAGCAATAAATATTAATATGTAGATTTCCAACCATATCTCTTCATAAGTTGCTGATATCATGACGTTCATTAAATTGATTTAAATCGTCAGGTGGAGGCTTGGACGATCGGAATTTCACTTGGGATAAATATTTCCCCTAATTTTTTAGGGACTCAGACATTTATTCAAGTAGTATTTGGATTAACAGTAGGAAAAATTTGTTGAATAAAACAAAATAAACAGAGTTGATTTGATTATTCATTTTCGCTTTTTGTGCCAACAAACGTTTTGGGATTTTATCCCCTGCTAGTGAGTGATTGTGGAATGTGCGAGAATGATTGCAGAATAAGGTTGATATGAATCAAATTCAGGATATTAATTAAGGTTATAATAAAATCAAACTACAAAATCCTCACCAAGATGCTGTTATATATTATTTTTCTGGGAACCAATTTCACTGTTAGAAATTTCTATGTTGGTTGAGATAAAATATGAGTGTCAATGTATACCATATTGATATAGCATAGGTACTTTCTCGGGGACCTTAATTAGCTGCTACTTTTAGAAAGATTTAATTACCTGTTATATTTAGAAAGATGTATATATTATAACTAATGACATTGTTGTTTAATTGATTGCAAGTTTGTAATTTATTAATGTATATATTGTTTTCTTTTGTTATCTATACGTTTGGAACTATCAAAAAAGGAATTGTGATTAAACTCTACGTGACAATTGGAGGAAGATTATCGATCTTACTATCTCAAAATTCTTTTTTTTTTTTTCTCTTCATAAATATTGGGGAAACTTTCGCTTAGTACAAAAAATCGACGCCTCTAGATACAGACGGACAGTTAAAAGATAGTCAAACTAACATTATTTTGGGGCCATTGGTAGTATTTGTAGCTCAGTGGGCTGGTTTATTAATAATGGATTGGATAAAGGGGGAGTATCAATTTGGGCTCTCAGATAGTAAAACTAAGGAGAATAATTAAGAAAAAAAAGCCAATACTTTTAAAGTGGAGTAGAATGGAATATAATAATACTTATGCTGGGCTACCAAGACTGCTCTACAATTTATATGCACTTAAAGAGTCCAAATGAAGGAAAAAAAAACACCCTTAAATCTTTGTTAATATGAAAGATTGTTCCTTCAAGGTTAAAAGTTCCGTAAAAGCTTTAATTAGGGGATGGATTTGGACTTTCTTTCCTACTTCTTTTATTATTATTTTGCATATAATAAACTAAGAATTATCAGATAATTCTAAACGAGCATGTGCTATACTCAGATTTATAACGGCTCACAAAAAGCATGGGCAAAATCACAAATAGGGCTGAGCTGAGAACGGTGCACATGTTGACTATAGGCCAAGGCATTGAGATGTTGAGAAATGAGAGATGAGTCCATTTTAGTAGTAAGCATGTAGATTTGAATTACATGCATTTCCCATCAAAACCATGAATACGGAGAACGTTACAAGATGATCATAAACTGTTGAAATTAGGAAAAGTTTAACCAGGTCCACCATACTCCCTCGGTTCTCAATATAAGATATTTTAATTTCGTCTTACGTTTTATCTACGATATATTTTTAATTGGAATAAAAATTTTAAAAGCATTTCATAATAATTAAGACAACACAACGAATATGAAAAAATATTTTTAAGGTTTTTTTGAATTAAAAAGATATTCGAAATCAGAATAACTTATAATAAAGACCGGAGGGAGTATTTTACTAAATTAATCAAAAGCAAATAGTCTGCATGGTGTTTCTAGTTCAAATTACAATTTCCAGTTCAAATGTAAAATGCTTGTAGTAGATATATAGCAAACTAGAGAGTTGTTAATGATGGAGCTGAGCTGGTCCTTCGCATTTGGTATCTTGGTTTCGCTTTCTGAAGGGAGTCTAAGCGTCCCATGAATTCCTGCATGCCAGTATTCCATGGAGGCCAAATTTAAACTCCAAAGTCCAAATTAATAACACAATCTGTTACTCAAAAGTTCTTTTTTTTAAAATATATATATATATATATATATATAGTCGAAGTTAATCAAGAGTATAATATACTTAATATTCCTCTCACACACAGATAATAATATAGAAAATCCACTTTAGGAAAAAGAATATATATATATATATATATATATATATATATATATATATATATATATATATAGACACACACACATGATTGGAGTGTTTATCGGTCTCTAAGAAAATTTTTCTAACACATTACTTTTTCTCTTCGTCCCATTTGAAGTTTTTAACTAGTTCATTTCTTGTTTAAATGAAATAGTATAATAAAATAGACTAATAATTTAGAACGAAAATGTATAAAACTTTCCAGGTTTGTGGAGGCTCGTTATTATTATTTTTATTTTTTATTTTTGTTAAATTGGGAGTTACTTTCTTTCATTTAAATTGACTTTCACATTAACTACGCACTAAATTTGTTTGATTGCAGTAATCTCTGAAGTCTTTGTGAGTTTGAAGTAATAAATGCCCTTCATCTATTAAACGTGACCTCATTAAAACAAAGATCTACCGAAAACCGTAAGTGTCCGTAATCTTTAATGGTAATATATCATGCACTATAATTTTCCAAAAGAATTCATACATTTCAATTTGAGAACGAACTGAAACAGAATTTACACATAAAAAAAATAAAAATAGTACCTTTCGCTTTATGAGAGATTCATTTTCTGACTTGAGTCGTAGTATTTCTTGCTCCAATTGCTTGTTATAAGCCTAACAAAAAAATTTTAATCACATTCATCATAAACAATAATCAATTATAATAATAAGAAAAGAAAATTAAAAATCAAATTCTTTTTAAAAACCTGTTTCCTTGCCCTTGATCTCGCAGCAGATTCCCGGTTCTTTATCATTCTCCTTTGCCTCCTCGAAGCACTCTTTTCCGCTGCCTCACTGGTGGCAGCACGTGGCTGCTGCCGGCCGCCGTCGTCCTCGTCGTTCGCCTGTTGTTGTCCATCTTGTACTCCATCGACAGATAAATCCACCACATGATCATGACCCGCGGCCTCATCCAAACCCGGATCCTGAAAAACGTCCATATTCGGCACCTCGAAATTCAAATCCAATAACCCGTCAACCCGGCCGAACGGAAAAGAACCGGCATTGTTATGACCACCACCGGAATCCTCCTCCATTTGGAATTGTTCTTGAATCTCTTGTTGCTGTTGTTTTACTAAAACCCCATTATATACCGACGAAGGGAAACTAGGAATATTAACAACATTTGTAACGCATTCTTGATGACTCCCTAGGACACCTGCCCGGACGAGGAACTCTTCTAAAGTCGTCGTCGACGCTCCAAGTGTCGATTGTCGCCTACTCGACGACGACGAAGAACAACAAAAGTCAATGTTATTGCCACTCGTCGCTAATTGATCATCCTCCACAATTAATTCCTCCCACATTAATTCTTGTTCATCCGTCAACGTACTTTTGTTACTCGATAACGTTGACTTTTTGTGTTGTTGTTGTTGATTCCATTTGGCATTTCCCGGGTGACACGTGGCGGTCGACGGCGAAGATGAAGACGATGATGAGGATCGAGTTTGATGATCTTCTAACTCATTATGATCATCTAGGGTACTACTACTACTTAGATTGTTGTATAAGTAGGCGGCTTCTTGCCCTTGATCGATTTTTCCCGGTAACATCGATCATATATGGCTATTGTTTTTGATAGGCTATCTAACCGAAAAAAAAAGTAGTTTATGCTTGCTTTAGACTGTATACAAGATGATCTTGTAAAGCATAAAAATCACAGAAGGAATTTTTTAGGGCTACTAGTAACTATTGTGTATATTTACGTGTACGGATCTTGTTATGATATACAAAATTTGAAGTTTGCAAAAATGAAGTACGGATATGGATTTGAATGAGGCAATTGAAAGATGTAAAATTCCTTGAAATGTGATGATTTTCTTTTGTGATCCCACAAATATCGGTCTAAGCAATATCAGGTGAATTTCGGTATGTCTGTTGAGATATAGTCGGGGAAAATAAAATGGAAACAGGGCTTGGTCCTATCTTGATTGTTGACTGCTAAATTGATGCAATCTTTTATACAGTATTTTTTTCCCCTTGTTTTCTTAATTTTACGGTAATGACGAAGGAGCAATGTCTAACACATCAAGTTGGTCAGTACATTTTAAGGATGATAAAAAATGATCATACTCAGTTTTCTAAATTATGGAAAATCCCGAATCTGTGGAAATTAAGGAAACTAGTACGATGATAATGTCATGTTGCCTACACATTTTAGGGATGATAAAAACTGATAACTTCATGTTTCATACACAATTTCCATACACAACAATTCACACCTCCCAAATTCGTGAAAATTAAAGAAACTAAATAGTCTGCAATAAAATTATTTATTATTTCTTCTTTTTTTTTTTTTTTGGAAAAAGGATGATTCTCTTTAATTACGACAAACATGTATAAGCTACACGGTTCATTCTTTCACCATCAGGTCTTTGATGCGTATTATCCTTCTTAATACATTTCTCTGCAACTACAAACAAGAATATAAAAGTAAAACTAAAACAAAACCAAATAAATCTGCATTTATCTGCTTTAGCAAGTGATTGTATGGAAGTTATCCAAGTAGCTAGCTTTTCACGTCGACGTGAATATATACGTACATTTCTTAATTACATTTTGAAATTCAGAAAATGCGAGTCTTAATTACCATCATGATTATAATTCATTGAAACAATTAATTATTACTGTCGAGTAGACACCATACAATATGATAAAAAAGAAAAAAAAGAAGAAGCTGCGTGTATTAATAACGGAACATTGAGCATATGGTGTTCTAAAATTCTTGTTTTGTTTTGCACAAAAGAAGAGGGAAAATTATTAGTGGATTTGAAATCTTACACCCTGCTATGATAAACACTACCGGGAAAAAAAAAAAAAAGGAAAAAAAGGAAAGAAGGCTAGCTTGTAAGTAAGACTTCGTTACTTAGAGTTTGAATTTTCTACTAACATGCGCTTGCAAATAAAAAATACGTAAGCCACCCCGTCTTAAATAAAGAGTAGTCTAGTTTGTTGAATTAAAAGAATAATGTAAATATATACTCTATTTGCGAATTAAATAACATTATTTCGATCTTACTAGAATGCATTAATTTTTGAAACTGATTCAAATTTAGCGTGGTTAGGTTAAAATGTTGTGTGTCTTCGAAAAAATAAAAATAAAATAAAATTTTGTGGTTTTGACATCATAGTGTTGGACTGAAGTTTGTTTTTCCCTTTCAAAAACCCAATTTAATGGTGAAGTACAAGAATTAACGGTACTAAAACCATTGTTGAAGTCCAAAGCCACAACTCCGTTTTCAAATCGGGAAGTCAAACGACGACTTGAGTGATCAAAGATGGTTAAATTATTAGTGTAAGATAAAACTTACTCATACTCTGTAAACGAATGGTAAAGGTCAAAGTAAACCAAGGCGCGTGTATAATAACTGGCTTTTTGACCTGGGCATCGTCATAAACTTCGTTTACTATATCCCCTTTTCACTTCGAGAGGTTGAGAACTTGATGTTGTTATTTCTCAGTACGTACTTCTTGATCTGCCATTTTTAAATTCCAAACACAAAAGAACTCTTGTAATGTTTTGGCTTTTGAAAAAATTGCGATTAAAGTAAGAGAAGGCTCATTCGCAAAAGAAAAAAAGAAGTAAAAAATGATGCTGGTTTTAGCTATATTACCAAGAACTCTTTCTAAATTCTAATGTTGGTTTCTCAAGAGGTGGTAACTGACAAGCCTAATAGTATGTAACATTGCTAATAACATGAGTTTAATTATTCTCTCTCTTTTCTCAATCTTGCCGTTGTAAGGAAAAAACTGAGTCGCGGGGTGGCCGGATTTGGCGATTTGCTCAAGAACAGAATTGCTTAAGTTCAAAGCTAGATCAAAGCAGAAGTTGAACAAAGAGGACAGGAAAAACGTGCCAAGCAATTTAGTAATGAAGTTATTTTATATCAAGTAATAAAGCATTAAGACTAATCTATAGGCAATAATAAGCTAATTAAAACAAAACCATCATCGTACCCCGAATACCTTCTGCTAATTCCACCATTCATCTCAAATTAGCCAAAAAAACAAAAAGGCCAAAAAACAATTTCACCCAGTCTTTTTTTGCGAGTGAAAATGGGAGAGCAAGTGTTGAGTGTTGTGGGAATGTTATCAGATCACATTTCAGCCTTTTTGAATGAAAAGGGAGAGCTCTTGGGTGGGCTTCGACAAGAGGTTGAACTCATCAACATTGAGTAACTCACATGAAAGCTTTTCTTGAAACCGAGGACTCAAACGAGCAATATGATTCTAATCTCGATATGTGGATCAAGCAATTGAGGCAAGCTCTGCTTATAAAACCGAAGACGTTGTTGATAAATTCACTTATCTCTTTGATCGCAATCATCATCTTCAAAGGGGATTTTTAAGCAGCACAGTTCCCACTGATTTCTTCAACTCCATCAAGAACTTTCCAGCCCGCCATCGGCTTGCTACCAAGTTGCAGAGCATCAAAGCCGAAATGGAAGCGATTTCTAGAGCTAGTCAAAGATGATGAAGCGCTCTACCCAAAAGCCAGTCAATTGGTTGGGATTGAGAGGCCTAAAAAGCAACTCATATCTCAGCTTCTTGAAGATCCCTCCCCATTCAAAGTGGTTGCAGTTTGGGGGTATGGGAGGGATTGGAAAAACCACCTTAGTCAAACAAGTTTATGAGGATGCCCAGATGAAAAGCCATTTCCAAATCCGCGCCTGGGTTACTGTCTCTCAAACTTATGATTTGGTGAAGCTCCTGAAAGGCATGATTCGTAGTTTATGTAAAAATCCCGTTAAAGCAGATCCTTCTGTTAGTATGGATTCGATGGAGCTCAATGATTCGAAAGCGTACATCCGAAACTTGTTGCTGCAACAAAGGAAGGTACCTGATCGTGTTTGATGATGTATGGGAAGTTCAATTCTGGGAGACAATCAAAGCTGTTCTTCCTGAGAATAGCCATGGCGGAAATTGGGTCATGCTAACAACTCGAAAAGCTTCTGTGGCGTCCAACTCTTGCTCCGAAACCGGCGGCTACCTACACCAAATGGAGTATTTGAGCTCTGAAGACTCATGGACTCTGTTTTGTCGCAGGACATTTAAAGGACAAATCTTGTCCTGCCCATTTGGAAGATGTTGGTCGAGGGATAGTGGACAAGTGCGATGGCTTACCGTTGGCGATTCTTGCGATCAGCGGGGTTTTGGCTTCAAGAGACTGGAACAGTACAGCTTACTGGGAGCTGACTCATGGTAGGCTGGAGGATGAATATGAAGGCACTGGAAAGCTAGACAGAGCCAGGAGGATACTTCGATTGAGTTACCATGATCTTACCTTGCTATCTCAAGTCTTGTTTATTGTACATTGCCAGTTACCCTGAAGATTTTGTCACACCATCTTTGAATCTAATCCAATTGCGGGTTGCTGAAAGATTAGTGGAACAGAGAGCAGGATCGGATGTTGAAGAAGTTGCGTGGAGTTATATGAGAGACCTCACAGACAGGAGCTTGATTTTTGTGAATGAGGAGGTTAAGTATGATGAATTACTTGTCATCATCCAAGTCCATGATCTTTTTCGAGAAATTATTGTCTCAGAGGCAACCCAGATAAGCTTCATAACCTTAGTTGAATCTACAACACAACCTCCTCATTCAAAGGTACGCCGGCTCGTATTCCACGGCGATTCTGCTCCCCATGAATGCGTCGTCAGAGAAAGCCGGCGTTATTTTAAAAATGCCCGCTCCATCATCACACGAGATTGCCATGGTCAAATTTAACCAAATTTTGGCATAAGCTTCCAAATATACCCCGGAATACATCATCGGTTTTGCCAGCGTACAAAGGAACTTTCTAGCTCCCAAAAATCATCACTTTCAAAACCCCAGAACCGAAACAACAACTCCATTTGTTCTTCAGTAAGATACCGGGCTATACTTGAACTAAATTTCGGTTGATAAACTTCGAGTTTGGAGAATCTTCTTACTTCAATTTGGTGTTTATGAAGACCATTCTTCTATTGCACCAGAATGTTTCTCATCGGCATAGATCAGATAGAGCTTCATTGGTAAGGTCATCGCTCAATAGAACAAATTTTCAGATGGATTCACTTGAATTTGGAGAACAAGTTCTTACTGTAAGCTTCAGATTCGATGCTCCTCCATTCAATCATGTCTATTTTGTCTGGGATGCCCTTTGCATTGATCCGCTGCAATTTCGGTTCAACTTTGCCGGAATTTCTTCTCAATGTTCCTTCCCGATTGCCACCCGGTGACCTCATCCTCACCACCGCATTGGGCCGTCGGAGGAATACTGGAGACAAATGTTAAATAAAACTATTCATCAAATATTAGGTTCATTATCAATGTTCCTTCGTTTTATGTGTTTGCTTCATCAAATATTAGGAATACTGGAGACGAATGTCTCAGTTAGATTGTTGTTTTTAACTAAGTGATATATGCGTAATTTAACTCATTAAAAGTCAAATCGGACTATAATTTTGGGACAAATTTTTTTTGGTAAAGTGGGCACTAATTTTGGGACCGATAGAATAGTTGAAATCGTTGATGTTATCAACTTATTGTCAACATATACTAGTGGTGTTTAGCGAGTTCTTTGCATATATGTGGACGCTTTCCGGTTTCGTCTTCCATTTAAGCTTCATTTGCTTCTGATTCAAAACACCTAGTTCCATCACAAGATCTTGGTTAAATACGAAATCACAATAAATATCCATCAATTGATTTTGGCCCTTCTTATTTTATTAATTTTCTCGAGCCAACTGTGTTTTTGATTTTTGATTTTATCTATTTTATTAATTTTATCTAG